TTTGAAATAGAAAGTTGGCGATCCAGCTTAAAAGAGGGTCTCCGATCCCGTAATGCTGCAGCTTGGATAGTAGTATCCGATGGTCTAGACGATCGAAAGCCTTGGAAAAATCCAGGTGGATCACATCAACACCTTCTCCAGCGTCAGCTGCCTTGGTCCAACTACTGCGTGCAATGAGTAAATTTTTTTGTACATGACCGCTGTCGACGGAAACCGTGATGTTCAGGCGTGATGAGGTTGCAGTTTTCCAGATAGCACACCAGTGCATCGGCAACTATGGATTTCATGACCCTGGAGAGTATAGGAAGAAGGGTTACTGGGCGGTAGTTGGAGGGATCGGTTCTGCGTCCACCTTTGTGAATCGGGCTTATTATTCCAAGCTTCCACATGGCGGGAACTTGGTTCTGGTCTAAGCAGTGCTGAAAAAACTGAGCTAAATGTCCTGCCAGTTGGTTTGCTGCTGCTCCCAATGCCTCTGGACGAATGGCGTCGACACCCGGCGAGCTGTGTTTGGGTAGAGAAGTCAGCTTTTGCAATGCAGCCTCTGCAATAAAATTGATGTGGGTTAGTCCTGGTAAGCAGAATACAAATCTTGGTAGATCGCTTGGTGGCAAGACCCTTTGAAACGTGGGGGCGTATTGCATCTGCAGCGCGTTTGCAGCTTCCATAGACGTTCTTGTTGGGCCATCAGCCGTCTTGAGTGGAGGAAATCCTTGCCTCACCTTTCGTAGGCTATTAACGTGCTTGTACAGCAGTTTGTGGTTAGCACTGAAGGTTTTTGCGATGTTCTGCTGATAGGCGGCTTTGTCTTCTCTTAACAGTTGAGTGCAGTGGTTACGTTGGTCTACGTAGTTGTCCCAAGTTTCTGGTGCTGGAGCTTCTCTTTACACTCTCCATGCTGCGTTGCGTACTGTCATCCATTTTCGGGTTCTGCTCCTAACGAAAGTAACGGATTTGCACTTATTGCACGCTTTTATCTCTGAAGCCTGTGCAATCAGCTGACTGACTTTGTTGACGAAATCGAGCCAGGCGAGTTCCGGGGGTTCTTCTTCGAGGAAAGACCATGTTGTGGCGCTGACTAGCTGGGCAAGTCGGTCGTACCTTGTGATGGTTCGCACAGTATCATCGTTATCATTCCGATATTCTGCATAGCAGACGAAGTTGAAACTGATGACTGCGTGATCACTGCGACCCAGCGGGCAGTCTAAAATCAATGCATCAATCATATGCTTCTCGTTGGTAAGCACAAGATCCAGCACAGATGGCCTGTTACCAGTTCTGAACCGAGTGGGCAAAGTGATGTGGTTGTAAAGAGGAACAGTAGTTATTAGATCTTGTAAATCGGTTTTGAATTGTTCTCCGGTCGTGGCAGGGGCTTCTAAACAATGTACGTTGAAATCACCCATGATAAGAATGTGAGTGTACTTTCGTTGTAAACTGCACCTTAAAGCAGCCATTAGGTGATAGTCGGTTTCGGGTGTTGAGTTAGGGGCGTGGTACACCAAGATAATAAGGCAAGCGTCCCTGCCTTTTAACTGCAACCGGCACCAAAGAGAGTCGGGGAACTGTGAGTCTGAATCCTCTACGGCTTCGCACTGTAAGTCGTTTCGGTAGTACAGAGTTACCGCTCCTCCTTTTGTGAGCCTATCGTTCCGGATCAGCGACATGCCGGGTGGCGAAATTTCAGCGTCCGTCATCCCCGTGTGCAACCATGTCTCCGTGACACCAATGACATCATACGAGCCGGAAGCTTGGCGATCTTTCAGTTCAGCCAGTTTGTAAGAAAGTCCCTGAGCATTTGTATACAAGCAGGCTAGTTTCTCGGTCTCTAGGAGCCCGCAGAGAGGTGAAGCTGTCAAGTGTGGGAGAATGCCGGCCGATGGGAGGTCGGCAGTTATTCATTATTTTTAATGAGTCAGTGATACCTCGTTTGCAACTTGCTTCGGCCAAGGTGCGTCCCAGCCTTCGTTTAGTTCTACATCAGAGTCAATTAAAGCAGCCGTCAAGTTACACTTCTGTACATTTGTCAGCATGCTTGCTGCTCCAGTTGCTCTAATACTTGAGCTGTGCGAATTGTTTGCGACCTTTAACCGAATTTCGGAAGAAAGATGTTTCCGATTTCTCCGCCATCGATCCAAAACATCCTTTGCTTGTTGCTCTGACTGCACCACAAGTCTTAGGATTCTAGGGCCGCATACTCTATAATTCGATGAGGGAGGTATCCTGGTGAGCGATAGTGCCACAACATCATCCAAAGAAAGTGTTTCACGAATGAACCGCAACTGTTCTAAATCGTGCTTTCCGGTCTCTTGAACATCGTTAGAAGGATGTTCTGGCACGCCATGTATGAAGATTGTGTTTAGGCGGTCTTGCTTGCTGTGCCCCTCTTCGATGTTTCGTTTTGGTTGTCGCGCGCTCCAAGGGACATCAGGATAGATACGTATCCCACAGGATTCGTGTTTTAGCGCGCTTGTGGAGAGCAAAACGTTTTCTACGTCGGTGGAGGATTCTAGAGTTACTCGAATAAGTCTGGGTTCACCATAGTGTGGTGAGTTCGGATGACGAGTAATTCGTAACAAGTTTATGGGCTTGGCTTTGATACTCATCTGCATACACAATGAGTTCCATTGGTCTTGGTCTTCCGATAACTTATCCCGTATTGTGATGGCGGTAGATTCAGGGACATCTGAGCATACAACGGTCCGGGCGCTGATGTTGGATCACTTTTTGATCGATCTACAAGGTATGGTACTCATTTGTCTTGACTTGTTGACAAGTGATTGTTTGCTGTTTTTCTCTCCATTTGCGTTAACGGTGTTTACAATGGAAGAGGACTCAACGGCGGCCTCTCGGTGGACCCTTGCAGCAATCTCTGCATATGTAACCGATGTTCTGGGAGGCTTAGTCTCGACAAGAGATATTTGAGCTACAGGTACCAAGGGTTGGTGTTTGGCTGCTCCATCCTTGTTAATACTAGATGTCAGGTCTAGTGGAATTCGCTTAACCAGACGTTTGGAATGGTGCCTGATTTTCTTTGCTTTGAGTACTACTTGATTCACGTAGGTACATTCTGTTTTCGCTCGGCGTTCTACCAAATTTGGAGAAGACAACGGAGATGGAGACATGGCTGATTGCGGTGCAGGGGAACGATTTGTTCAGCATTCCGTTGCTTAGCAGCCGCTAAGCTTCTGTGGTCCATACTCGCTCCCATTAAAGTAAACTTATTGTTGATCCTTTGCTCCGCTTCTGCGATTAACCGGTTGCATTTCTCAGCTAGGATAAGCAAGCACTTAACGAGAGGGATGGTGGAACACGCAGTACAGAACCAAAATGCATCTTGGGAGCTATTTCGCTCCCGTAACTGTTGTTGGGACACATTTGCACATTTCGTATGGTACCATTCCAAACAGTGCGAACAAGCTAGACCGACTTTACTACCCGATGACATTCTCCTAACCCGCAAATGCCTTTCGATGGGAGTCCCTTCGGTTTTGCCTTTGGTGTCGTTACCTGACCCAGTGGGTTGGTTAGCGTTCTGTACTTTTACAGCTTTGAGAGCGGCGCACATCGATCAGGCGAGCGTGGTGGTTGCAAGGTCAAATGCGCGGTTGGCGTGGTCGCGCGGTCCGTGTGATGGGTAACGCAGCCGCACTGGCTGACAAGGTCACACGGAATGGCGAGTGACTGCAACCTGAACAGAGCGCTGAACACAGATTGACAGATCACAGATTCTTTCACAGCTGTGTTGAGAAACACTGGATCGGAGTAAGCTTAGGCTTTTCGGCCTGCCTCGAGAATTCTGTATCGAATGGTGTCACACAGAATAGCAATCGGCTCAATGCGATTGAATTAAACGCTTGCTCTTAGTCACAGATGCCAATGAAAACGGTTGGCGATGGTGCAGCCTCTAATCGTAGAAGATATTTCCACGTATGATGTATCACTGTGTAGAGCTGGTAAATCCGGTTCGAATGAGCGTACAGTGACAACGCTGCGAGAGGATGGAGAGAGGATCGAGGGAAATAATCCAAATGAACCAGTAGCACGCAAGTCACGCGTGTGTGAGGATGACCGTTGCTTCACACAACTGGCCCTTGCAGCTTAGGTGAAGCCATTTTCCTCAACACGATTTTTGAGTAACAACAGCTTACTATTATAGAGAACCTTTGGAACCATAAGAGCGGTAATGATTTACATTACTACTAGGATATAAAGTCAAAGGAGGTAAATGGAACCCGTATTATTTTCGGTCAGGGATAGTAGGGGTCTCAACCTGTTCGCCAGAATTTCCTTTTTGTAGCTTTAAGTAAAACATGCTCCCTTTGCAGTTGGCCTAGAGGCGGTCAGCTGCGTATGGGTGATGCATCAAAGGTGAAGCGGTTTGGGGGCTAGCTGTATTTTGCACTTGCTGGTCGGTAGATAACTGCTGAGTGTTGGCATCACAGTGAAGACTGAGTTAGCCCCTAGTCAAGGAAGATTGTTATGGGAGTCGGTACGCGTCAGTTACCTACTTGCACGCCGTAGTCGTTAAAGGGGCTTACGGGAATTACCACAACCGTCTGGTCTGTCCGACCTTAGACGTGTAGATGTACCCGTATTTTTCCTATTTCCGCGACACGAACAGCAATTAATTCCCCCTCTAACAGCATGGGTGTACCTTGTCCGTCATCCCATGCCAGCACCGTCGTTATCATTGAATAAGCAAGTGAATTCGTAACGAATGATTGCATAACAGCGTTGGGAGGAACAACATTGAAATATTTCCCTTCTAGGTTAGGTCAACATTGCCTAATATAAGCAGATGGTGCAGGGTCAACCTTGAAAATTATATCTCATTTTATGTACTCTTTGGACTTTCCCTCCCCGAAAATCATAACTAAGAAGACTTCATGAACATTAAACAGTATATGTTCAATGACAGGCAAAGATTTTTTGCAATTTGTTCAAAAATCACACTATATGTTATTCGCTTCGGATAGCCTCAACCACATTTCGGCGAATTAATCGCATACTCTGCGAAATTATGGAAAAATGAAAAGTAAAAATTTGGTTACTGCATTTCGTAGATTTTGAGTAAAATACAAATAATAGTGTAATACACATTTAGCTAGCACTGGGGTGTAATCATGCGTTTTGTAACTCTTCCCTCCGTGAGAAGCGCTACAGGTAGGTAAACAGCTTTCTGGGCATTAATAACTAAAACGCAAATTTTTTAATAAACTCACGTAGATTAGCGAGCTAAACTGTTAGAACGTTGACTGCGTTCGTTTTAATCACTGGTACATACTGTTGCTCACAGCGATCGATGCAGAGACAGAAAGATACAGTGGGTCAATTCAACCATGCATATCTGTCTTACGTTTCTTGACCTAGCTTCTTTATCAAGTGCCGCTGTATAGTTTGCTTATTAAATATTTATTCGGACTATCTTGTCACCTAAAATCGTATACGACTGGCTTCCCAAAAGCATGTTGTTTGTACAACAATATACTGGTTTCTAACTTATTAGTTATGTCTCCCTGAGGGTATAGATTCGATCTTTACCACCAAAGTTATTAATTTGCTGTACAATCAAAGCGGAAATATTCCGAAAGTAGCTATACTGAATTTAAAGACAACAGTGTTAAAACTTAGCTATTTGTTAAAAACGACTGCATTTAAAGGGTTAGTAGGACATTTTTCAAAATTTTATCTATTACTCACTACAAGTTTTTGAATGTTAGCTCCCAGCTATAATTAGTTTGTTTTTTGTCACACTGGTGCAGATGGAATTAGGAGCAGCCTATTATGTATGTAGTCAAACCATGCATGTCTTATTTACTTATTTGACGAGTCTGTGATGATAACCCATTAATTTTTACTTGCTTTATTTCGTCTATGTTTGGCCTTTATTAGGTATCCCTACAATGCTCTCGGTAGCTTTTTGACTCATATTTTGCCGCTTATCTAATTATTGTCGATAGATTTCCTACGGAGCCTATGCCCAGATCATTTCGGGAAGAGCATTATTGCCAATAAGAAACGCCACGTATAAATACAGACACGAATCTTTATGTACCATTACCGGAATTTGCTGTACACATAATACACAGTGTGTAGTGTAAAATCAGCATAATACTTAAGCTTGCCTAAGCCAGTGAATATAAGCCTGTATGATCACGTAGGCGTAACTAATAGAAGAACCTAATGGATCTCAGGCAATACTATGTGTTTAGGTTTTACGGTTGTGTTTGTTAATGACTATTGCGTGTTCATGTATCACCACAACATCATCCTTTCATCATTTCTATTACAAGCAACACCAAAATATCTCATTGTCTATGTCAGTCAGTATTATCAGATATGTATATCCAGCTTCTAGGTAAAATCCTATCACGTTAATTGGTAAAAATCATTGGTTCCTATTTTCCGAAAAGCATAGCGTCAATTTTCAAAGACAAGTGGATAGTTATTACAGTTGAACAATAACCCTCTCAAGATGACGGTATTTTACACCCAGCCTAAATACACTCACTTGTGTGCTTTCACATGAACGCCACGAACTGATTTATTTGTGCCTGTAGGCCACTCCAGATAAATTGTGGTCGTGCAACCTTCGTTATCTGTATATGTGACCGTCTTATCACCATTCTTATCATATCTTCTCCCTTCAAACTCGACAAATGGCTCACCTAAATGCAAGTTAGTTAATATGTAATTGCCACTCAAAAGGTACCGTTTTCATCGTACTGTATCTCAACTGCAGGCATGAAAGCATTGATCATGCAAATCAGTGTAAGGTACACAAGAAAAATGCAACCGAAACCCATCTCCAAGAATCCGGTTTCTGAAAGATTAAGGAGAAAAAAGGTGATTACATGAAATCGCAAAATGAAATGCTAGCTAGGTCTGTACATCAAAATCTACCGTTTCAGCTCTTAATGTGTGCTAAGATGGCTCACGAATACATAGAATACTGGGTAAACATTAGGGCCACTATATCTTCCGACGTTGAATACGTGTGACCATTCCCGATAAACGTCATGTTTTAGGTCATAGGAAATAAAAATACGCTATATATGTGAATAGTTTACGAACTAACTAAATACCCCAGTACCACTTACGACACAGTCAAATGACGTTTTAGGTTTAGGTTATACCTGCCTTTTATATTATATACCTCACGGAATTCGGTCGTTGTTTTCTTTACTTAACACTGCCTTAGCAAACCTAGAGTTGTTTACACTAGTGTCATCCGCCTACAATTTGTCGGCACCTAATAAATTTTGGCTAGCATTAACTACGAAGGCTATATCGTTGGCGCGCAAAAAATACAGACGACCAACTCGATGCCAATTTCACATTCACTCACCGGGGTTTTCCGACGAAATAGTGAATGGGTTTGTTCGTTTGCTTACTCCGAAACTAGTTATGTTAATTTTTAGGCAGTAAACATAGCAACTTGTATCTGTAAAAATAAAAAGGTAGAACAACACTGAGCACGCTAAGCGCTTGTTTGTCTAATTTATGTACATCTGTTTATATTAACAACCTAGGCGTGGGGAGAAATCTACAGTTGCTCAGCAGAGAGCCAAAAATACTAACGTTAAAACATTTTTGGACAGTCATTAATCGGTTAGAGAAAAACGACTACAGCGGTATCCCTTTTTTAACTTGTGCGTTCCAACGATACTATAAGCCCCTTTCCGCATTATCCAGGCACCATTACAAATAAACCTAGCTTAACACTCATGCATTCCATAAAAGAACAAACATATTGGAAGAATGCTTTCTCAAAGTAAACTTAGTATCGGAGGTTTTTCTGAAAATTTTTCTAACCACTCTACACGGTACTTGGAATTTGTGCCTTGAATTTTTACTCATATTACAAATTATATGTAATAGCTTACGTATCATTATACCAAAGAACTCCTTATCCGAAATTTACCTGTGATGCTGAAGACAAACTGTGGCGGCAATGCAGAAAACTCTTGAGCCCCTCGGTTACTGTGAATGACGTTCTTAATGTTTGACGCTTGGAAATTTAAGTTAAGTCAACTTAAGCCTTTGGTATCCAGAGGGGTGCATTTTCAACCATGTATCATATCAACTGCAGGTTAGGTAAAAGGAGATTTTTACAAAAGCGAAATTGTATAAAGGGATGCATAAAAGGGAAAAGCTCGCAGATGTGTCATGCGAGTAAAGTAGCCAGTGTCTTTTAGCATATATTGCGGATGAATAAACAGAATGCTGGTGCTATTTCCATCTGAGAGAGGAAATGTTAAGAGGACATATATTTTTAATTGGTATTACCTTGCCGAAAAGTTTGTGGTCAAAACCAACAGGCCGCGAAGAGTGCGCAGTATCTGGGCTAAGTATTCAAAATATCGAGCTACCGAGCATGGAATTAGTTGGAAAACATAGCAATCAAAATATTCCTATGAAACTTATTGTATCCGCAGTATATCAAGTAAAACGGATGTTCAATGAAAAGGAAACGCCCAATTTAAAGTTCCGATCGTGCTCTAATCCGATGCTTAGCAAGTAAAGCAAGCCGCACTTGGAATATGGTATCTTAGCCAACAAAAATAAATGAAGCAACAGTGCATTGCGCTTGAGGTAAAAAATACGGAGCTACAAATACGGTCAAGAGCTGGTCTCTCCTCTAGCAACTTAGAGTAAAATCTGTGTTATCGCCGCCAACGGAAGGTCATGTATTTGTTTATCAACTCTTGAAAACGCCCTGACATTCATGTCAGCTTCTAATTAAACAGCTAAAATACTTTACTATTTGGCTATAATTTAAAGTTGACTACGCAGTACAGCCGGTTAGGATGTCACTACATTGGCGTAACCGTATGACAGTTACCACCATAGAGCTCCTTTTCAGGACATTTATCAATATTTGTATAATACCATTATTCTAAAGACAAGGTAATGAATTCCGAAAGCATATCGGCGAAGTGCCTTTGCGCTAACGTCACTCCATTCCACAGATAAAACGATCCTCATCCCACAGTGAACTCCAAGTGTGGTCGTTGAAAAAGCTTAAACAACCATCCGTGGGCAAAGCTAGCTGTTGCCATCACTTGCATATGGTGGAATGGTGGTAGCTTGGTACCAACTTGACAATGTTTGAGGCTGCCATCCTGAAAACCAGATGGCATCAATGTTCCCGAAGAACTGATTTAGAAAATATATGTCGCGTGAATGCTTGGGGTGTGGAGAGACGGAATGACACGGTAAATGAGCTATACCAAAGTATAGCTCTTTAGTTTTTCATATGATTTACGGTCTGTCCCGTTTTTTCAAAAACATTTGTGTACGAGGAACAGGATTAACGAGAATTTTGAATTGTACGCTTTTTAGGGTAAATAGCAGAAGATAATAAATTCCTCAAAATAGGCCGACGTGTCGGTCCATAGCTGTGGTCGCTTCTGGAGAGACGTAGAGTCAAATTGAACAGAGGAGTAGCGGGTGCTTTAGGCGGAATATGCCTCTGCTCGTGTGAGTTGCTGTGCGGTTGTATCAGCTTAAGTTGCAGTATTTGAAGAGCGCGACCTTGTGACCGTTAATAGGCAACGTCGACCTTTAACGACTCTGGGACACTGTAATGTCCTCGAAATTCTTTGCAGCACATTCAGTTTTCCTGCGGAGGAAGGTTGAGCAGTACAGCACAATAGGTCTGTGCGAACGAAAACTTGGGTTCAGCTTGAGAGCTGTTGTGCGTTTGCGCATTCCTGTTCTGCTTACGAAGATGAATCGGGCGTAGCTAATGCACACATTGTAAAAGGAAGGCGGAAAAATAGACGGTGACACACACAGTGGTGATTAAAGCAAAAGTAACTCTCCTGTTGTCTCACGTGTTGAACCCTAGACCAAATCTACTAATGTGCACCGCAGGTCAGCATACATGCAGCTGCGAATACTAGAAGCGGAAATAGTGTGTTCGTTCCAGTTAGGGTTAGACGTGGTAAAGAGCAAGGAGTTAATCCGTCCAGTTAAGGTTTTGACCATCAGCTGCAGTTTTGCATACCGTCGAGTGAAACCGGTAATATCTTAGGAAGTTACAGGGCGTGTTGAATTGCGAGGATTTGGGACTCGTCCCATGGTTATTTGGGATGGTGGACAAATAATGCTTTTTCGCACTCGGCGGTTGATGAAACACGCAGGTTATTTCCGGTTGTGAGGCCAGGTAAAACAATAGATTCACGTAGCCTACCGAAGCAGTCTACACTTATAATTGTGGATAAGAATCCGCTACTTTATAACTGGTTTATCATGTATAAGCGTAGGTGTTAGAACCGAGACTGCTGGAGAGGAAGGGTGCAAGAAGACTGCATGGGTGTCAATGTACACCTATACATAATGGGTAAAATAGCGGGTGCCTACCAAGTCTGACAGGATGATGGGAGTGTAAATTAAAAGCAAAAGTAACAAAGCATAAAGGAATAAGCAATTTAAGGCGCCATCGGTTCAATGCACTGCTGAGTAACTAACGTTTTAAATGGAAAAATAATGCGTGCAGATAGAGAAATATGGCGTGATGTTAGATCTCACATACCATTTCCTAATTTTTGCTACAGTTAAGACTCCTGTTCATAGCGGACCGTCTGTAAGTGATTTTGATGCCTCAGTGCGTTGTTCAATGGATTGCTGTTGAAGATCGAGCCAAATTGCTATTTGAATGGGTTACTAATGACAACGGTTGTATTCGTTCACATAAAGGATGATAACGATGTTGATGGTCTACAGTCGTTTCTGCATCCTCCTCCTTAGAAATTTCCTCTGTTCCCTCCATATTTGGGTATGAGATAACACGATCTTAATCGTCTATCAGCTATAACAGTTTCTGAATTGCAGATTGTATGATGGACCTGATGTAGCATGGTTAACTTATGGGGTACCCTTTAAATGCTGACCATTTTGTTAATATTTATTTGTTACAAGAAGGCTGGCACGAACGTTCGCAGTATTTATAAAGTGTTCCTTAATGAAAATGGTATCGATAGTATATAAAGATTAGTGGATATTAAGCTAAAACAAGTCAACGGCAAATTCTGGGTCGCATAGAAAATATTAGCTTGCGAACTTGTTCAAATTATTCACACCGTACGGCCAGTATATCATTTTAATCTGCCTTCACTATTTCTGGGGACAGAATTCGTCTTGAATCTTTACCATTCCCAGGGAACGCAAAAAACAAAGAAAAGTTTCAGAATGCTGTCATTTCGTGTTGATGATGAAGCGTGTTGTGACCAGCCCAATGAGCAAATAGATAAATGGGAAAACTTGACATGAATCAACTGAGAAAATATCCAGGGAACAAACATCAGAACAAATCTTAGCGAACGATCTCATTTTTAGTGAATCCTCATCAGACTAATACACAACAAATAAATGATATTTACGTCGATTCGTGAGGGCAATATCCCAGCTTGTTCGCTCAGACCATCTGGATTTTAAACCTCTACACTTGTCTGATGTTTACATTGAGGTCACTCGTGTGTAGTGTATAAGCTTGACGAGGAACCACTAAAAAGTAAGCTTGTTAGCCAACATTTGTTCTTATGGCTATTCCCGGAATAGTTAATAGGTTGAAACATACCAAGCATCACCATTTAACTATTTACTCAGTGGGTAGGTCAAAACACTTTTCGTCGTCAACACGATATGACAACATTCCGATGCTCTTCTTTGTTTTGGGCGTTTCCGGGGGAATTATCAAGATCTAAGACAAACACTGATTGCACAGATATCGAAGGCAGAATAATACGATATATTGTTCAAACGTCTGGATTACATTGAATGCATTCGCTGTGCTAATATA